CCAGTTATCAACTTTCACACAGATTCTAAATTCCATCATAATAATGCATTAAATAGAAATATTTGATGGAAAGAAAGCCTACCATCCCCAGCTATAGACTTGCTTTAAGGCCTCCGAGTAAGCAGTTGTATGATCAGCTCCGCAAGTGAGAGATACTATTTCCTGCCCATCCAATGCACTCACCTGAGTTGGAGAAAATCGATCTTCAGCATCCCCAAGGCCAAGCTGACCATCCTCTCCTCTTCCCCATGAGCAAACAACATTTCCAGCTGCAATTACATTGATTACATCTACTACCCATCATACAGAAAAGCTTGATAATTTGAGTTGGTAGCTTAAGTACTAAATCAAACTCTTCTATTATGCAGTACTGCCTGCTAGAACAACAGCATACTAGTGTGATCTCACAAGTGGGTAGGATGTATGCAGATTGCAGAGCTTATCCCTACCTTTTGTGGGGTAGAGAACATGTTTCCGATAAACCCTTGGCTCGAAAGAAAAGAGAATTGAAGCATGGTAGCATGAAACAATGACAGAAAAATAATACAGTCTACTCCAAGTTTAAATTAAAAATAAGGTATCATGCAACAAACCATAATTAATTGATTGGAATTGTTATATGATAACATTTTGAAACCAGCTGAAATTAAAAGAGACATGTTTGGGATCCAGTTCGAGTCGGTCTAAGTTTATTAATTATGCTTGGGTTAATCAGTACTCCAGAAGAACTACCTGAAGCTAGCAACTGCAGTCAAACACCGAGTCATAGCATCTATATGTGGGAAGGTGGGAAATTTATGCATCAAGTTCGCCAGAACAGAGGCAGATACCATTGCATATCTGATGAAAATGGAGCAAGGGAAAGTTGCAATCAGAAAACAACCAGCTGTTCAATCTGTATCAGGTTTGGAAAACAAATTGAATATGAAGATAACAAATTTAGAGATTCTCACGAATTTTGACCATGCCAGTAGTAAAGGCAATGAACATACCGACTTTTACTTATAAACGAGGTAAGCTCATATCATGGAATGTTAGGGGTCTAAATGGAGAAACAAAAGAAGAGTCCTTAGGTCTTTGATTCGGAAGTGGGTGGATTATGCAGTTTCGGCGGCTGATGGAACTCAAGGACGTGTCACAAGAGTTGTTTGTCAGGCTAGGAACTTCTGAAAGGAATTGCCTCTGTTTCCATTTCCAGCTCCTGCCTTAACAATGATTTAAAATGGGAACTTTGTGGTGTTTATGCTCCTTTAAGCAGACGAGCAATGTATGGCTTGAACTATCAGCAATAAGAGGTTTATTAGATGATATGTTGATCGTGTGAGTTGACTTCGATGTCACAAGGCTTCCTTGTGAACGCAAGCACAACCAGAGGATTACAGTCAGCATGAAAGAATTTTTTGAGTTCATAGAGGAACTTGAATCAATGATCCTCCACTTCAGGGATGCCCTTACACTTGTTCCATGGAGTAAAACACCACTACTGCTTCGCGGATGGTTAGGTGTCTGCTCTCAGCTGACTGGGATGACAAATCAGCTCCATCAGACAAGCTGTCTGATGCAGAACAGAAAAGAGCAGAAAATTCAATGGAACAGTTACTAAAACGGCAGGGAAATATAAGAAGTTGGACTAATATTAGCTAATTACAGTTAGGGTATATTTCATAGATGAAAGTCATTAAAAGAAGAACATTACAATATATAGTATTCTCAACGCTAGATGATTTGTCATGCTCCTCCTTAAGAGATAAAGAAGGTAAAGAACTATTCTGCAGAAAAAGGTAAAAGGACTGGATAGGGACCCTTCTAGTAATTATGGGGTCTAATGTGTAGATAACATGCCTTGAGCTAAGAAGGTATGGAGGACTAAACTGTCTATCCAACTAATGATCTTTTAACTGACTAAACGATTATGTATCACATTGCAAGCCTAAGTTACACCTCCCATGAGCTTCTATCTGCTGTACTGGATGCTCCTCAACCACAATCTGCATCACTGTCTCGCCAAAGCCTTTCTTAGACCTTACACCTATTGTTCTTCAGCTGGACAATGGAAACATGACAGGTCTTATTTTAAATTTGAAAACGTGTGATAGGAAGAAAAGGGTTTCATGGAAGTGGTACATGGGTGGTGAAATTCATTCCAGATTCGGGGCCAGAAAGGGTTTTTTTCCCGCAAATAAGCTGAAAATGTCTTGAGGAATTAAGAGAATGGAACAGAAACTGTTATGGTAATCTGGAAAAGAGAAAAGCCAAGGCCTTAAAATCAATTCAACAAGTAAAATTGCATAAACTGGGGAATACAGTGAGAGAGAATTGTTGTACGAGGCTGATTTATCCATGGAATTAGAAGAAATTTCTTGGAGACAAAAATCCAGGTGTCGTTGGCTTAAACAAGGGGACAAAAACACTTTTTTTTTTCACAAAAAGGCCAATGCACACAAACGTTAGACATTTGGCCAATCGCACCCCTTCTTTAAGGACGTTGTCTTAACCATTCTCATTTAGGGCAAAATAAGGCTAGACATTTGGGAACTCAGGCTAGAGGAAAATTTGGGTTGCTTCTCCTGGCAGCAAAAGTAGACCACTGTTCTCGCATTTGAGTACTTCCAGCATTCCCTTTTTGACAATTCTTTTATCCAATACTCTGATGGATTCAATAAGGGGCTGACTAGTTTGTGGTAGAAAGTGCAACTTAAGTGGCTAGTGGTGGTTGACTCAAGAAAGAAGGAGATCCATGAATCTTATGCAAGCTGGATTCTGAGAAAGCTTATTATTATATGTATTGAAATTTTTTTGACTTCATATCTTAAAGGTGAGTTTTGGGGACAAGTAGAGAGATGAATCAAAATTTGCATTTCTATCACCAGATTCTTAACTTTGGTGAATGGGCGTCATGTGTTTTTTTGGGAATTTGAGGGGTTAAAATAGGGAGATCCATCATCCTTTATCTGATACAGTAAAATGATGGATCCGACCGTCATTGGGGGTTTATTGAACGGATTTTCAGTTCTTCGTTTAGAGAGGGGATAGTAATGTGACGGTTCCACATATCTTATTTACTAAACGATACTTTGATTTTCCGTGATGCAGAGGTTTCAGACTAGATTACTTCAGACAAAATTTTATTTAATTTTCGGTTGTATCAGAACTCAAAATCAATCTCAAAAAATGTGAGATCACTCTTGCAGGAGAAGGAGATAATACTAAAGAGATTGATTTGTAAGGTGGGTAATTTTACAGACTGTATATGGTCTACCATTGCATGCTTCGGGAAAGGCCTGATAGTGCGCAATCCGATAATTGAGAAAGTAGAAAAACAATCAGAGGGTGGCCAAAGAGATACTTGTCGAAAGGAGGGAATAGCGTATTACGTGAGCTTATAGTGAAGGAAGTGTTGCATAGTTGGACATACAGGAGAGGGAAGAAAAGTCTTAAGGGCATGGAATATTCCTCTTTAGCAAAAGGGACATCTATTGCACCACTTGTCTTATGAGAAACTCATATAGTTGGCTCATTAAAAATCACACATCACTATTAGTATTCCTAGAACCAACTCGCCCTTTCTGATTGTCTATCTGGAGTGATAGATAGTGTTGTGGTGTAACTGAATCATTAGTCCTTTGGAAGATTCTTTCCAAAATAAGCTCAAGAATATGATATTTCTATCTGTGGCAACGAGGGAGTCCACGTAACTGGTAAATACTATCTAAAAACATTCAAGCTACTTATTGAGCTATAAATGAATGACTTGAGGACATAATACGCATATTTGTTGTACCTATAAACCACCAAAATGGTATCTTTGCCTTCAAGTAGACTTTCCACATTAAAAGCTTACAATCCCAACCGTTATTAGAGTGGTTGCACGTTGCAACAGCTCTATATAAAATACTTCTTTTTGTGATAAATGACACATCCTAGTACCATTATTTTGTAATGTCTTATTACATAGTGGACCCATAAAATGCATATGCTATAAGATTTTGTATATTGTATATAGAGATGACTGGAAAAACAAAAAGAGAATTCCCAAAAATAGGATTTTGTATATAGGGATTCCCTCTATAGATTTGCCTTCTTTTCATTTTTTTTTCAAAAATGAGATATTCAGTCCATTTCATTCAAGTAATGGAAGCCTTGGAACAACGATAAAATTGTCTCTCCGTGAGCTATAGTTAACGAGGTCGAGTCGTGAAATCAATCACTAATACTTACATTAAGGTAGACTACAATCATCCAGGGGCGTATCTACATAGTCTTGGACACCCTTCGTCGGAAAACCATACCGTATATACAAGTACAATAATATACAAAGTGGTTAAATATCATATTTTGGATATCTTTTACACAATAAGGTGTTATAGCCTACTGATTTAAGGTGTCTTGAAAGAGACAAGCGTTTAGCCTGAGATCCGATCCGAACAATCAGTCGAAGGAGCGGAGCTTAGAGTCTTTACTTTATGTAAAACGCATATTTGAGTTCAAATATCATATTTTGGATATCTTTTACACAATAAGGTGTTATAGCCTAGTGATTTAAAGTGTCTTGAAAGAGACAAGCGTTTAGCCGGAGATCCGATGCGAACAATCAGTCGAAGGAGCGGAGCTTAGAGCCTTTACTTTATGTAAAGCGCATATTTGAGTTCAAATCTCGTTCGCAGCATTAAGCCTTTCTTTTTTGCACTCATTCATCCAAAAGAAAAAATGCTCAAAAAAATTCATGTATATTACCTAATTTTTTTCAAAAATTTTCATATATATTAGGTAGCATAATTTTAAAATTTCTACTGCACTCATTCTTTGTGAAATTTCCCATGACGCCATTCCAATCATCACACACACCCTCCGAGTATGGCTTTCCAAGACCTTACTTTTGGTGCACCGAACTGCCCCCTTTTTTTATCCATTCCATTTATATTGCTGTATATAGTTCATGGAGTAAAAAAATCTTCAACAAATACAAAAATTTTTAAAGAAAGCATTTCAGAGTTCTCCTTTTGTCAGTCCACCCTATAATTATTAGGGAATTAATTATTTAGATGTTTTTATTTTTATGAAGATATAAGCAAATATCACTTTTATTTAAAGTATTTTGGAAATATATCGCTCATTTAAATTATAAAAATTCGCACAAGGGTTTTGATTTAGAAATTAGAATTAAATTAGGATGAAGGGCGTTGATCTGTTGTAGTGGGAACAAAAGCCCAAATAAAAGATGTGATAAATGTGAAAGCAGAGATTACGATTTTACCCATAGTATATTTAATAACGTGGACCATTATTGTCCATGCAAATTCTAAACACCTTACCCAATACTCAATCCCTCTCTTCATCATCTCTGTACTGTTCATCAACATTACTTGCAGAAGAGACGAAGGAAGCAGGAGCGGAGCCATAGATAATATTTTTTTTATGTATATTCGAATCCCTTCTACTACTATGTAGGTTTATTTCTACATATTTTGAACTCTTATTGAAAATCATATTAAAAGGAAGGGTGAAAAAAGCTAACCACCTGGAAGATAAACTAATTTGATACGAGAGTTAAGAAAGAAAGAAATGGAAGGATGAACTTACAGAGAAGAGCAACGGAGTGACTAGCTCCAGCGGAAATGAGAAGCACTTTCCGAATCGGCCTAACTGCTGTATCACTATTGCAATCACCACCTCTTCCGTCCGCCATTTTTGACCTAATGTACCTTCTCTGTATTAATTAAAATGTGGAAAGATGTGGAATTTTTTTTATGGAAGGAGTAGAGAGCATGGAAGTGGGTACACACTGAATTTATACTAGTGATAGAGACGCCACATGTTCCTAACTGCTCTCCTCCCACACACACATGTGGTAAGTCGTGACCTTGCACATGGGACCCACCTTTTCTTTTTTCAATCAGTATAGTGTGAATTTTACTTAACACTTTTACTAAGCACTCCAGGCGATATTTCACCATCTTTACACAATTTTGTAAGGCTTTTTAATATTAGATAACTAAGGAAATGAAGAAACAAAACTATTATATTGCTCGGAAGATTGTTTGCCTTTGTCAGTTGATTTTCTAAGTATGATCTGTTTTACAAAGAATAATCTAGTTTGAATTGATATGAAATTTAACAAAATAAAAAAAATTGGATTTCATGGTTCTAAATTAAAGTTATATCAAATTTACAAAATTGTACTTTTGATCTTGTGACCTAAAACAATGTGGAAAGGTGAAATTAAATGTTACAAAAAAAGGTCAATTCTTTTCGAAATAGACTAAAAATAAAATAGGATCATTCTTTTTTAAACGGATGAAGTACTAAATTAAAATCTATTGTGTAAATAATAATCATTACATAAGCCACTAGTACTTATAAACAAGCCCTTGTTATAAAATTTAATACATGCCTAGAATATTCCAAGGTCTTTCAAGAATTCTTCCTAGATATTCTAAAGTTTTTTCAAGAAACTCTCCATTACTCTAAAAAATCTTCCAATAAATAATAAATGCTTATCGCGTAAGCTTCCAAATAGGTAATTTTATGTCACATGAAGTCTATGTGGCAGGGTGATATGACAGGTCATCACACTATCCCCTATATAATGTGGAGATGATCGTGACACATTGATAATGCATTAAATTCTCAAATCTTTTCTTTAAGTAGCAAAAAGTCTTCATACTGCTCCTATGTGGCTTTTTTGGTGATAGGAATATGGCAGTAACTTTTTGCCCTTGTTTTCGCCTACACTCACAGTCAGTCAATGATATTTTTATCTCTCGACTATGCGAGGTGGTGATAGTAATAAGTGCACAACTCGATTAGCCTATGTATGGGTCATATTTGTTTTTGTGGTATGAAGAATCTTTAGATATGGAGGCATGTCAAGATTGTACATGAGATCTTACCCACCTTGGAAAGGATCTTAAATGGACCATCATATTTGTGAAATAGATTGTGGTGCATGTCTCGTTGCGTCTTGAGCTGTCTTGGGGTAAACATTACCATGACCATGTCCCAACTTTACAGTCTTTGGGATGCCTCTTGCAATCCACAAATTTCTTCATCCGCTTAGCTAGCACGTCATGAACAATCTTAGTAAGTCTTGGAAAAGCACAACCATGAATCATCCACCACGCTAAAAGATGAAAGTTGTCTTCTTCATTCTTAAGATTTTTCAATCTTAAAGATTTCTTCATTCAGATTGGTTAGAAGAATCTAGATCTAAATACCCTCTCATGTAATAACTAAGACTATCTTCTTTAGCCTTAGAACTTTTAAGAATACCCTTTCATGTAATAACTAAGATTATCTACTTTAGCGTTGGAACTTTGAAGAACATCCATTTTTTAAGTTGTTTCCATGAATATATGTGTCATACATTAATCTAGTGTGCAATTTAATGTTATTTTTATAGTAAGACATTTCACAAAAAAATTCTTAATAAGTGTTTGTGCTTCTTGTAATTTATATTCATGGTTAAGAAGAATAAAAGTTTGGAAAATTTGAATGATAGAAAAAAAAATCTCAGTCATATTTTCAACAACCGTTTTAAACATCTAAATTTTTCTTATTCAATAAACTATCACAATGTGATTTCTCATGTCATGATAAGACCAATTACACCTCACCAATATGTAAGTCTAACACTTCGCCCTAAGCGATAAGCAACGGCTACCATACGGAGGATAACCAATAAGAATCAAAAGCTAAAAACAAAGAGAAGAAATAGAGATCAACTGAAATATTGCGAGAATCATCCCTAAGACCTGTTATCAGTCAGAAATCGAGCATATAATCAAAATAAAAGTATAAATCTCTTACACATACAATACAAGTAGATTTTCTGTATGAATACAACATCAAGACTTTCCTAGCCAAGAGAAATGTAAATCGGTAACTTCATATGCCAAGAGTTAATCCAAGTCTCCGAATCCCAAAGTTACTTGGCACTACTTCAAGTAAATTGCGAGAACCCGTACCATGATATACAAAAGGGTAGTATGAGTACCAACAAGCTCTACTCTGTAAGCATTGACCGACTGATCTCCAAGATAAAAACAAGTATAGTTAAAAGGTAATAAGGAAAGTACAACACAGGTAACTAAACATGAGATATAATAAGCTAGACATGCAATACAGAGCTGAAATCATACATAAAGAATAAGGAAACGAGTCAAGAATGTAGCTGGAAGCGCAAGCCAACAACCAACTCACAAGCAAACTATGATACAAGAGTCAACAACCTAAGTTCACAATCATTAACATATACAAATATAGAAAAACACATCAACTATTAGATTAACAAAAAATGAGTAAAAATATAGTCAAACAATAACCTAACCGGACTCCATAAATCGGGACCTTACAAAAAACAAACATAACCCAATCGACCCCCACAAAATCGGAGGATGCAAACAACAATCAATTATACAGGTGATATGTGACACATATGAATGCATGATATACAGTGGAACCATTAGTAACTAAGTGTATACACTTACCTTTCCAGTCATCGAGGTAGGACCCACATAGCTCAATCATCATGTAAAATGAAAGACATGGCTAGAGGGACTCATACGAGATACGAAAAGTCTATATACATTGCTTGAGCCTGAATCCAAGTCTTACAACAAGTCATCTCCATCGTGGTACTAGAGGAATGAGTAGCAAAAACCATGTATGAAAAGGCGTTGATGGGTCAGCTAGTCAAGTAAAAGTTGACCACATCCTATATGCATCTCAAGTTGCAAGTAGGAAAGGAGTACGTCTGAAAGGCCTCATAAATATCAAAAAAATAGTTTAACAAGTGATTAGGTCGGTACAACTCTCGTCAATTTCGTTTAAAATAGTATTTGAGTGAAAAGTGTATTTGTCCATGTATGATAAATATGCACCAACAACAAAAAATAATGAACAACAAATTCAATGCATGTCATCACAAACATTCAAACGAGGCACTTATAATAAAAAAATATAAAATCAACCCTACCACGCTACCAAAGTGGAGTACTAACGTGAAATTCAACTACTCTTCAAACATCCTCAAGCCTTATAGTATCAAAACAACTCAAAAAATTATACTAGGCTTACCTCTAAGCGACAAGTGAATGGATCAAAAAGAACTTTCAAATCAATAAAGGGGAGAAATAACACAAAGTACAATGTCGTACATCAATCACATCACTCCGGTCTGTGGTTGAGCATATCTAATGCCAACCTATGAGTATAATGAGTCACCTAGGTCTCAAACACTTACCCATGATATACAAGCCTTATAAGGAGGACGATAAAACAGACTCTAAGACATCTAAGGCTCAACCCTAGATCAAGGCCACAAGTATCAATTCTAACAAGGACAAGCATTCTAAGGCATAATACAAGTAAGGTTACAAGCCTAAACTAAGGATCCCAATATTGAAAATAGGCCTAAATCTCCTATGGGTTTCACAAAAAGATAGAATAGTAGATAGAGAAGTTATACTCAATAAATATAGTCCTAAATCATGTGGAATTCATGTTAAGACTTATCTAAAATCCCTATTAAGAACTTAGACAGAAGCCTACCTCAAAGCTGATCAAACGCACTCCAATCCACAATACAAGAGCTATATACTTTTAAAACAACTGTGATCACCGCTATCAATCACATTGCTGGTACATTCGTTTAAACACCAAATTCACAATAATTTGAGATGGACAAAAAATTGAATCCCTCACTAAAAATTCTAAAACTGATTGTGTCAAAGGACCCTAATTGACTTATATGAGCATGTGTCCAGAATGGGATTTAATTTGATGCCCAAAATAATCTAAATGAGAATATGCAATTAATACCGCTAGGATCTCGACACCCCTCATCTATAATTCACCATTAAAGAAATATGGCTTACCATTCGGGGTGAGAATTACCTCAAAATGATATTTCCCGCACTTCCCCAAGCACTCCAGCACATAACAATGATAAACACAAATACCCAAAACTTGAAATCTCCCAATTTAGAGCTCCTTAGTTCCCAAAATTGAAAGAACACTAAATGGGATTGAACTGATTCTTGATTGGTATTTAATTAAGCATATCAGTCTACAGATCTTTGCAAACACGGAGGAAGGGCTGCAAATGTGGTGGGTAAGCCCCACCAGCCTTTGTGAATTTGACACTTAGCACACGGACGCAGAAGTCAGTCATCATAGGCATTTGCAAATATAGAAGGCTACTCGCGATTGCGATGTCGAAAATCTCAACTCTCCATGGATGCGGCCATAGGCGCATGAGCATGAAGAACAAATTACAGTAGCACTAGCTGATGCAAATCAGCTAACTTGCTGAAAGAAGAGTTCTTTGATGAGGTTCCCTATATTCATTCAGAACCCCATGCGAGCAAATGAAATATGCTACCCCATCAAATTCAACATTCTAAACTAAATAATGTTCATCCAAAATGTCATACTCTGAAAACTAGTAGGCTAAACTAGAGTTTTTAGCGCACGCCAAGTTAGATAGAGCAAATAGGGGGGGGTCCTGTCAAGTCGGCCCGCTACCGCCTTATATTCCTATTTATAAGCCACAACCTACTTCGACGTTTCCAATTTTCCATAGAGGAACTTCTTCCTGCGTCTGCTTCCACTCCAACTCGAACAAAAAACCTCTTCCTCATCTTGACTCATGGTGTCTTCATCAGTGAGTAAATCCTCATCATCATCCGTCATAAGATAAAAGAACATATCCTTAGGATGTACAACAACTCCACTATTCTCCCTTTAAAGTAGGGGTCATGAGGATTAGAGTTGTAAACGTACCTCCCAGTAACTAAAGTATAGGGTTTCATGTTAGAA